TGCCTTAAACCTTTTAATGCATTCCAAAAAAACAACAATCAGAAGATAACAATCAAATTTTACTAACCGATTATTTACATCTATTTTGCAATCTTTTCTTTTCAGAGAGCGAGTTTCTCATTGTATTGAATTTAATTGATATGCTATATATAACTTTTGCTTTTGACCCTGGTTCACCTAAAAATTGTAGAAATAAGCATAATTTCGATCTCTAGGCTCATATATAGTTCATGTTTGAAATATAAAAATTGTAGAAATAAGCATAACTTCGATCTCTAGGCTCATATATAGTTCATGTTTGAAATATAATTGTACTTTTAGTCTACTATAATGCATTTCTTGATTAGCTGAAGTTTCTTGAAAATAGAAAAAGCATACCTTCGAAAAGAAGAATACTCCTCATTGCAGTGAAGTCAATAGCGAGGCCAAAATAATTGAACAAAGCACGGCAACAGGCATGTCAACTACAATAGTGGACGAACAACAGCACTCAACGCTAATAAAAGAAGCATAAACATTTGATAACATCAGAAAAGTGGTTCGAGGTGTTTTTCTTTCATCACTTTGACTTCTTTTTTTTCCAGTCTTTACTTTTCTTTTCAATCTTTACTTTTTTTTATTTTTACCAAATTCTTTTTTTATTTTCTTCTTCACTTTACCTTTTTTTTTATATTAATGAGAGATATTCACAAATGAAGTGCTTCAGAAACAAAAAATGATATGCTTTACATTCATACAACAAATGTATGTTACAACACAAGTTTATCGAACCGACCAAAATACACCCACAAACAACTAACAAGTGTAACAACGATTGATTAGTAGCACCAAGTTGCCTTAATGTTAAATTATAGAAGTGTCACACTGCGGATCCTTATTAGTAGGAGCTGGCATAAGCGCCCAATTACTCCTTTTAATAGACTGAATCGTATCAATCCATTAATATTAACTTAATCACATTATACTACCAGAAAACCCATGAGTATCATATTAATTCACAATAGGACCGCAGGGACTAATTAAGGAGCTGGCATATCCGCCCAATGACTCCTTTTCTCAACAATTTCATAAAACTGAAAACCGCAACATCAATACAAATTTGAGCGGATTGGACAACTTTGCGATACTTCACTACCGGTTGTTACTCACATGTTAGTTACTTCTTTACATTTACAATCATATTCCTATCTGCAGCTATTCACAGAATCCAAAGCAGAAGCAAAGCTATCATTACTATCATTTCATGCTAATTTCTTGTCATTCAAATATTAAAATAGCCAAATCCGTCAATTTTATGCACCGCTACCTACATTCTAGTTGCAGACGAAACAGAGAGTAACTATAACGAAAAAATACCAACACCAGCTACAGTTAAGTTGTAGTCGATGCCAAAAAATGACAAGATATGGCAAAAGAGAGATATAAAACAACACCCAAAAGTAGAATCGATGAAACCTAACGATAAGCATACGTTCGACTCTAGACAGAACTATAACTGGAATGACCGATGAAATCCAAGCACTCGAGATATCATTAGTGACAAATGTGTGGTGCATGCACAGATTCATGCTTTATATAGACATTGGGGATAAATCAGAAACACAAAAAACTGCATTAGCAGATCAAAAAATGAATAGTACTAGTACTGCGAGATGAAAGGTTCTAGAAATATCTATGAATATAAAAAAGGAGTAACGTTTACTGCACAGCACAACACGCACTCACTTTCTTCAACTTACTGTATTTAGTCTTCTGACGTGATTTACATTTGCTAATCCTACATCATCCTTTCCCTTGTTTTTTTTTTTCGCATTTCTTACTCTCTTATTAACTAATGCATACTAACAAGACAGGAAATTTGAATAAAAAAAATATAAAATATCTTGTAAGCTGTTTACGTAAATTATCGCGTTTTGAAAGGAGAAAATTTATCTGCATATATAAATATTTCTGGAATCTTCCTTGCAGTACTGAGAATATTTTTTCTTTTGATTCGTTAAAAATATTACATGTTTTTATCAGGCAGATTTATTGATCAATTAAAAATCAAAAGTTTGTGATGCGAACAATAATTTAACACAAACTTGTTTGCTCATTGAATGTTTTCAAGTTCCAACTGAAATTGAACAATTTTGTTGATCTTTAATGAAATCTCTAAAAACAAACTTACGCCAGAAACTTTAATTATTCAGTTTTTTTCCTTACGTAAAAAAAACATCTAAAGTATTGTAGTCTAAATTTCAATATTAATTCATATTTAATAGTTATAACCCTTTTACCAGTTCATTCAAATAAGCAATATTTCTGTATTCTTTACGAAAAAAAAAATTTGGAGCACGTGAGAATATAATAAACTTGAACTAAAAGCATTCACATATTATATTTTCATGCACAGAGTTAACATAAACAGAGGAGAAGAAAAATAGTAAAATAATTAGATATCTTTTTTTGATCAAAGGTTTTCTAATTCAAGAATTGAATTAGAGAAAAAATTTTTTTAAATTCTAATTTTAGTGAATAAATTTATTGTCAAATATCAATGAATAAGTTATATAGTTTTACAGTAAGTAGAAAGCAAAATTCTGATCCGAAATTCTGGCTTGACTTTTTTTAACGAAGTGAGATAATTTATTGATTCCAGCATCCATCATGTCATCAGAAGAATCGTCCAGACTAATTTATATGGGGAATGAAGGAAGTTCTAAAAGTCAAAGTTTGCATGCTTAACAGTGGTGTTCACATCGATTTCTTATTAAATTCATGCAGTTGTTTCCTAATATAAATGTGATAATAGTTAGGGTTTTGCTAAAGATAATGCCAATATTCTGTAACAAAATAAATTGCAGAATATTAGAACTAAACTGAAAAGAAACTAAAATATTTTGGACCGTGCTATGTAACACATTGCTTGATAAAAGTGATAATATTATGATCAATAGCTTTTTAATCGCTAAAATTTCTGATTTCTTAACTAGGATGATTCTGAATTAAAAGTGCCAAGAAAGTATGCAAACTGAAAATCTTTGTTTGGGCTTTAATATTTAGGTAAAGAAACATTTTATAAAAAAGTGATTTGTTACTTTATTACCAAATCGTTAATAGCTTGAGCATTTTGTTTTACTTGGCAAAATATATACTAAGAATTGAGTACGTTATCAAACTACGTCTTTAGTTCCTTCATGGTTTATTTATTTCAAGCCATCAGAATCGCAGATAGTAAAATACGTTCCATAATGATAAAAAATTGGATAAAGATATGCTTATATATTATTAGTGTTTTGTCCGTCTTCACCACACCTTTTGATAAAAATGGCATGCTTTCATATGGAATTTTAAAGCAAATTCAACTATATATACTGCAATACATTTCACAATATCCATTAAGACTAAATTAAGATCTAGTAAAGTCACTGAATATAGTAATACCCCGTAAAATTGATTGGGGGGCTGCCGGATACCGATACTCAACACTAAGCAATTTTTGACGTACATAATTATACCTTGACGGTATATAGTGTACAAATTCTGATGTGAGACAATATTAAACTGGAATCCAAGTATGTCAAAGTTTTCCACTGTAGAAAGCCTTTAAATTGCAGAATTTATTTAATCAGACTTTACCAGCAGAACGGAAAGCAAAATTTAAAAAGTATTACAACAAATTTATATGTGAATGAAAAGTATTTGCATCAGTACTCAAAGAAAATCCACGAGCAAAAATATGAGACCTAATGGAAATGCATGCTATCACTATCATTCAAAATCAAAGAAATCATAATTTATAGGGTTACTTGATCTAGACGCATTAAATTATCAGCATACCACTACCATGTAGCTTTCAATCAATATAAGAACAAAATACCATTTCAAATTAATAGGCAAAACAACGATGAAGTTAAGAACTTATTAAGAGTGATTGTATAACGTCATTATTGGAAGAATTCAATTTGACAAGTTTTTTCAGTTTCCTTAACAGTTTGGGTGATTTTTCGGCTTTCCGAACATCATCTAAATATTTACTTACTTTTGATACACAGCACTTTGCTTCACATACTGAACAAAGTGTCATATTGCATTGCTGACAAAAGAACAGTCTTTCTGGAACAATTCTTAAGATATTTGAACGACGTCCAGCGTTGACGCGGGCTTGATATGATAACGATTCCTCGTCACATTGAGCACAAGTTAATTTAGTGTTATGCATGGGTGTAGTAACTGTGACATGATTAAAGAGTAATTCAGTGTAGACACATAATCGAAATAATTCAGCACTTTCAGCATCTGCTTCCTTTTCAGTCCAAGCCCTTCTATACCTCATAAATCGACCATTTCGAGCAGCCTGCTTCATCACTGTTATGTAACGTTTTACTTCTCTGAAGTTCCTATAAACATCTTTTTGTACGTACATTACTAACCGTATTATTACGGCCAATTATCTGAGAGTAAAAAAGGTGTGATGATTCAGAAGAATTATAAACAAAACTCGCTTACCACAAGAAAATACGCAAACAAGGTGATTTGATTTGATTAATTAGAGAAAGGGTTAATTTCCAGAATTGACAATCCATAACATGAATTAGTAATTTCGCTTGTAATGTTGGATTTAGCTGGCACTGATAAGCAGTGTCAAAAGCAGTAATAATAATGTCAACTGGTGCGCTGTCTGGACAAACATCATTCTCCAAAATCTATTGATAATTGCCTTTTTACATTGAAGAGTCATTGACTGAGAAAAGGTATAATTGCAGTTCATGCTTATTTTTATGTTATAGAAATGAATGATCAGTCCTACCTTTTCACACACTTTGATTACCGCATCCATTTTCAAAGCGCGAGCAACTGGACAAATAATATCCACGTCAAAAACTTAAACCATTCACTTATTAAATGCAAGAAAAACACATTTGATTTCTTTAACTCCATAAATAAAACATTTGTAACCTGAAGGAAGGATAGGATAATTCCCATAAATTGTGGGTGAAATGACAAACAAAACACGCTCCATGGCTTCAAATGAAATACCATCTAATTTTAAAACAAGATTCTTTTCTTCCTTTTCCTGAAATGCAAACACTAGTGATGAAAGCGGACAGCAGATAATAACAATTATTGCATTCTTAACATTGTATATTGTAGTTTTTGTAATGTTATTTGAATTCAGTCTACAACTTTCTGTTGTCCAGCAATTTCCGTACCAACTAATATCGAAATTTATCTAATCTTGATTAAAATATTGTAGAATTCTAAGTAAAGAGACTCTTAATAACAGTACTTTACGTGCTACTCTAGTTATATTGACTCTTTTGCATCGTACCAGTATGAACAATTTTTTGATCATTGTGAGCTGCTTAGACAAAAAAATTTTTTCTTTCCCAGATTTACGACGATCTATAACTACATTAACATCTGAATGCTCCATCTTATTAAGAATTTAAAGCATATTTGCACATACTAAATTATCGATCATATCAGCACAAAGTGCGGAGAATTTAGATATAACTGCGCGGTCAACGTACAAATATTGCTCATTAGAAAATACGATTGGTAGAGTCCTCCACTTATCGGGCTCACGAAAATCAACCTAAAATAGGATGTAACTGATAGGCTTGATATTTCTTACTGGCAAAAAATTAGTTCAATTTCATATCTTACCTTGTGCATACGAAGTGAATATATTGTAATAATATCTCACAAAAAACTTACCATAACAGGAGGCATTTCCGGATTGTTTTCATGATACAAACCAAATGGTAAAGGAATTAAACGGATGCCTTTGAAGAAATCCGTCAGCTTCATATTTAATTCTAACTACAAAAAAATAACGATAAACTGAATGTGATTTTATTGTGTATACAAGAAAAATTCATACAATTACTAAGAACTGAGAAAATATTTTAAGATGAATGCACTGGAACTGATAAAACCAAGACATGACTCGATAATTAAAAGAAATATATCTATGCACAACTAATTTCTACAAGCCTAACTTTATTTCTAATCATAATGAATGAATTTAAATTAAATTCACATATTGTAATCCCCATACTTCATATTAATCAAGTTCGTGATTGTCTCGTGACGTGCCCTGCGCTACAGCACTAGACCAAATCAGAGTAAATAGAAAATAGTAAGTGGATATTTATTCATGGTATTACTAAAATTAAGTGCAAAATTGTGGTAGATAGCGATCTGCGTCAAGAGCTCCCGCTTCCAAAAAATCTACGGCTGCGCATATTACTACTACTGACCTCCGTCTCCATCTCCATCATCTAATCACTGCCTAATTTTCGATTACAGATGATATGAGTCTTCGAATCAGAACACCTCTTTAAAAGACTCATCACAATAATAGACAAATACGAAAGCTTTTTTTTCCGTTTTAATAAAGCAGCAAAGAATCGATGGCAAAAGAGCAATGGTATAACCGACACCGAGGACTTATCTATATCATGAAGTTAGTACAAGATGACTGATTAAGCTATTCATGAAAACCATCTAGAAGCTGAAACTTCAGGATCGCTAAAACTTCTCCTCATGTTACTTGTTAAACGTTATTCCAAGTTCTCTAAAACGCATGATCATTTATATCCACGGTTACTGTGCTGGTGTCGCCTGGGACACAATCTCACAGCGCTGACCCCATAGATTTAGAGAAACGGTAGATCATATATAAAGGAATGTAATGGAAATTACGATTGGAATGAGTTTCTCTGATCCATTTACAACAAATATGAAACCTGGTCATGCGGAAGTACCACTGTTACTAATTGTTAATAACCTATCATTATTAACATTCTTAACTTTGAAAAACAGCAAATCCCGGTCTTGCTTGCAACAAAGATTTGATGACTCATCTTGCATAGTTGAAACTCGTGAAGCTAATGCAAACCTTCATCTTTATTCATCGTAAAATTGATTAGCAATTTTAAATCCACTACAAATATATTTTCTTGTTAATTAGTTACCATTCATTACAAAATAAAACTTCGTGTGTGACTCACAAACTGCAGGAGTGCCTAAGGGTTTTTGACAAGAATAATTTTTTGAAGAATTTGTAAGCATATTTCGTAATGATAACTATTAACAGTAGATTTATTTATATTCAATTTTCTAGAATCATACAATATATGTCCAAAAAGAATTAGCATACAAATCTGTAATCAACTGAGTAATAATACATAAAACACAAAAAAAAGGCACAGTAAATATTGCAATCATTTTCAAACGCCACTTGACATATACTAAGAGCAGTGCAAGACGATAGATGAATCTTATGATACTATACAGTTACTAGATGTTTTATTCTTTGCTGTTTGTATTTTAGATATCACTGGTTTGCACCTCCGATTAGTTTTGATGGTATTCTGCAACATACAAATAATGAATATGAAAAAACAACTACTCCGGACATTTGCCACAACAAGATCTAATCTAATACTTGATACGAATTGATTATTTAAGATGAGAATCGCCTTTTTTAATATGAAGGATATTTTTTAAGCAAATAAACGGTATGCGTGTATATCAAACAAAAGCGCTGTTAATCAACTTACTGCAATTTTATCAGACTGAGAAAAAGATGCAGCCAAATAATTTAATAAGAAAACATCGTCACCATCGCTTTCCGATGAACTGCATGAGCTAGAAAAAGTATTTATATATACTCAAACTATATAACAAGGCTTGCATAAATTTTTCCACATGTTTCACTTTAGCTAACCTACATCTTCAAAAATATAAGATTGATGAAGTACTTAAAAACTGATGATTCTTCGTCACACTACCGATTATTACATCAAAAAAGAGAAATTCATTTGTAATAATTTATGACCAAACAGTCATGAGTATTTAGCCATCCAAGACTGAATTCGTTTGGAACTGTTTAATGACAAAATAATATAATCACTACAATTTGATTAGATATTCCTATATTACAAATGTTACCTGCACCGTTGATGTTTTTTCCGTTGTGATGATGATGGAGGGGGCATTCGTGAGTAATGATTTTGCTTTTTACTTTCATAATCACAATTTTCTTTACAGTACTGCTTATGACAATATTTATCACACCATGGTCGACGAACATCAGCGCTTTGTGATCGCCGATAACATCTAAGATAATCAAAGTAAAATAAACATTGCGATAATGTTTTCAAATATTTTGGTACGAAATATTTGAAAACATCTAAGTGATTTAGAACAGAGGTAGGTAAGTACCTTCGCAAATGTTCAAATTCGTTTATGTCATCTGATTCCTTTGACGAACATGGTAAAACGGTCTCGTAAACATTTTCTGCTTGTGGTGGAGAAGGAGGACTTCGAGATGGCGGTTCCGGTACCGACCCATGTCGCTTACTTGATATTGCTGTCACCTCACTGTTAAATGTAACCTGAAATATGGATACACTTATTAATTACGCGTAAATTGCCTTGTAAATCATATATATATATATATATATATATATATATATATATATAT